TGGGAACCAAAATTGGTTAGACATGTACAAGACATGTGCCCAGGTTCATTTATTTTTGTGGTTGAATTACCTGTTCAAGTGTAGAAGGTAACACATACAGTGAATCTTCATTTTAAAAAATTTTGGTAGTTATTTTTGATGTTCTATGGACATGATAGGGAATTAATGGGCTAAAGCCTTAAATGGATGATTTGTGTCTTCTTGAACAACAAAACCAAAGACATGTGTGAAATGTCTTTGTCAGCCTGGTGAGTGGTTTCAAACAGAGTGGCCTCTGAGGCAGGATGGAAGAAGTCATCATATTCCCGTGAGCCTCTTCTCCCATGTCTTCACCTGCCTGCCCCAGGTTCACCAGCTCTTTTCCCAACTGTCCTATTACACCTCATTGTAAATCCCTGTGACCTCCTTGACAGTCTTGGCCAAGGAGCCATCAAATCCCTTTTCCTTGTCCTTTGGTTGAATCAAGTATTTTATCTTTTATCTTTCAAAAGGAAGCTTACTAGACCAAAAAAAAAAAAAGAAAGAAAACTTATAAAGCATGAATTTCTTATCCTGAGAAAGTCCAGGTTTTCTGTAGACATGGCTCATGTGCCTTTCTGTGCACAGCACCAGCTTTCATTTACGTTCCTTCTCATTATCTGGGTTGACAGTAGATCAAGCAGTTGCATGCATTTTTACCCTCAGAAAGGTTTGGGCCTCTCAATCAGTCAGCCTCTGCTGTAGAGCCTGCTTTCTGGTATCAGCTCCATGAATGATAACACTCTCTGTCTCTGGGTTGTTCTGCCGTTTTGTTGTTGCTGTCTTGTTTTGTTTTTCACCCACAGCTATCCAGGACTCTGTGGATTTTTTACTTGGACCATGCATCTCTGGTCATAGAAGTGTCTCACTAGGCTAGGAGCCTCCTTGCCATTCTTGGAAGGCCTCATGGTGCCAGACCTCTGGAAGTCCCACCTTCATTCCTGTTTGGTTCATCCATAGCATAGTTACAGGATATGGTGATGATTTCTCTTGGGATAAAACTTGGCTTCACTTGACCATCTAAGCTAGCGGGTGAGTCTTAACCATGTTGTCTCAATGGCAGCCATCATCTTCTTGAGTCTCAGGTTAACTTCTGGTGATGACTGGATCCCACCCAAGTGACTGAATTCCTTGTGATGGCTTCCCTCACACTGCCTCATGGAGAAATCTTGTAGAATCCCATCACTTCCTGAATACCATAGAAACATATTTCATACATAGTGTAAATGTAGTAGGCCCCATCTACAGCAAGGAGGATTATCTGCTCTTATGAAAACCCAGAGAAGGTGCTTTTCAAACACAGAGATAATATGAGATGGGGATGGAAGACAAATGTATTAGAAGCCAAATCCAGAGTCAAAAAGACGTCAGCATTTAGGAATGACTCACTGAAGAAACAGAGTGGAATGTATAGAGACTATACATTTATTCTGAATTTCAGTTTGAAACAATGCTGTCTTCATGCTCAGGGTTACAGATGCATGCCTTAGTTCATGCCAGGGGTAGGAATGGGGGTGGGGAGTTGGTGATTTTACTTAAACAGGAAGGTCACCATGATCTGAGTGTAAAGGAGTTATTAGCTCTTAGATATGTTAATAGCAGTACTTTGTTCACACTGAGCCCAGAGGTCCAAGCCCTCTGCCCCAAGCTTCAGCATTGGCAGCCTGTGGACTGTGCATGATACTGGCTTGACTGGCATATTGAATTTGAAAGATTGGAATGGAATCCCTTTGGGTGAGGCACATACTCTCCATTCTTCAGCTTTTATGTTCCTGTCCTGATTCTAAAGGCGTTTGTGTGTGTGGATGACCCTTTCCCATACCCATGTATAGAAACATGCTTTTGCAGCACTGGGATCTAGCCTGAGTCACCACTTTGAGAAGGACTTAACTAAAGGAAGAGGATCTAGAGGAGGGCAATAGGGATGATAAAGGAAGGACTCACCTTGTCATAGTTGAGAGAACATAGTTCTGTAGCCTGGAGTACTATCTTCAAAGGGTTGTAATGTGGAAGAGGACTTAGACTCAGACCATCTCGGGAATATTTATGGTCTTTGCGCTTACTTTAGTCACTAAAGTTCCAAGGATGCAGAGAAGTGTGAGGAGTCTGCACTCAGGGTCAAGTTCACCATAGAGCAGAGAGATACACAGAGGTGGCTGTAACATAGTAATACTCAATGGTTCCCCAGAAGGCAGAAATAAAGAGGCAGATTTTGGAAGGCCTTTCCTAACAAAACTCTCCCCAAATAAGATGGACTGCTTGAAAACTAGTCACCAGTCATGTTGTCCAACTGTTAGGTATAGCTAGAAGAGATTCCTGCTTTGAATGGGGTTTGAACAGATGACATTCCTAGATCCCTTTCCTACAGTCTATGGTTCCAAGACCATCACCATGTATTCCTTTACTTGTTTAGAGAGAGTTGTTACCAATTAAACACCCATGGGTTGTATGTGGTGTCTGTGCAGACCACGCTGGGAGGCATGTTGGCTTTCAGGGGGTTTCCTGAAAGAGATGCAAGAACCAATGGGGCCAACTTTGTCTTATGCAAGGACTTGTAGAAGAATCTTGTGGCACAGTTGGCAGGTACAGTCTTGTTGCTGGTTGCTGCCTTTGCTTGTTGGCTTGCATCTGGCTATGAGGATCAGTATCTTCTCTTGGGTGACACAATGCTTCATGTCATTGGGCAAGTATCTTGAGGAAACTAATGCTTCCCATTTACCCATCCCTACCTTCCAGGAACCCAGCCAATACCCAGAGATTAGCTGCCAAGACAGAGTCCCAATTCTTCCCCTTTCATGGCAGAACTTTAAAATAATTCAGATTTCTACTAATGTGTTCCTTGGCCCTAGAAAATGTGTGATCACAAGCAGAAGGTAGAGCCTTCTCCTCCCAGTCTTGAGGCACAGTGTCCTGACAGGCCCGTTGTGGCCCTGCTTTCTTTCTGCTGCCACACAGCCATGGTGACCACTCTCACTTCCCCACTGTGTGAAACATAATAGAAAGGAAGGCAAACAGGGCCTTGCTTTCCTGACCAGCACATTCTCTGGGTCAAAAAGGCAGATGCTGTCTGGGTTTGGAGTTTTTCCTCAATTTTTGCATGTTTGACCTTGGTTAGTGCTTTGTGTTTTCTGTCTCCCTTCCCCCTATGGTATATAAAAAAAACACTTGAAATGGGATATAAAGACAAGGAACAAACTGCTACCTATCCCCAAGTTATGCAAAGCAGACAGGCAGTTCTCTCTGAAATGCCTGGAGCTGGAACTAAAAGGAAACCCCACAGTTGTCATGGCCCCAGGCTGAGTGGACATTGCAGTTGTCCTGGCAGATGTTTTTTTTCCTTCCAGGAATTTTCTTCTGTGGCTGAGTGAGAGTCCAGTCAGCCCCAGGCCTTCCCCATACCCTATCAGATAGAGTGGGCTGATCTGCCAGGTCACCTGCCTGCCACCTGGGGACCTCTAAACTGCTAGAGTAACAGAGACAGAGGGTGGAGTTTCTCAGCTCCAACTGCCAGTTAATTTTACCTGCAAGCTTTAAAAAATGGTGATGCATAATTTTTTAAAGTAGCTTTATTGATTTCACAGACCATACAGTTCACCTGTGTAGTGTGATGTAATGGATTTTGGTATATTCACAGACTTGTGTGACCATTTCCATAATTTTAACACATTTTCAGCAGTCACTGTCCATGTCCCTCTAACTCCCTCAACTGTAGGAAACCAACCACTAATCTACTTTCTATAGATTTGCTTATTCTGGACATTTTATATACGTGGAGTCATGCACAATGTGGTCTTTTGTGACTGACTTTTTCACTTACTCTAATGTTTTCAAGGTTTGTACAAGTAGTATGTATCAGTACTTTGTTCCTTTTTATTGCCAAATAATATTTCATTGTATGAAGATGCTATAAAATTTTATTTATTCCTTCACCAGTTGATCGACATTTGGGTTGTTTCTGGTTTTTGACTTTTATAAGTAAATAATGCTGCTAGCAAACAATGGATATAAGTTTTATGTGGACATCTGTTTTCATTTCCTTGGAAATATACCCAGGATTTCTGGGTCATGTGGTAACTTTAGTCTAATTTTTTTGAGAGGCGACCAAACGTTTTCCAAAGCAGCTGCACCATTTTACAGAGATGTTTCATAAAACTTATTTCATCACCATCCCCATGGTGATTCTTGATGTAATTCTAGTGCACTGCCAGTGTGAATCAGTCTCCTGGCTCTGCCTCGTTTGGAAATACAAATCACTGCACAGTGCATACCAACACTGTACCTGAAGGAGAGAGTATGTGTAGAGGAGAACACCCACCCCTTCCAGATTGTTCTTTTCAACACTTCACTTCCCTCGGGTCTCACCAGGGACCTAGTCAGTCCCCTGCTGGAGGAAGATGATCCAGTGCTCACTGATGGCACAGGTTGCTATAAAGAGTGAGTTGATCTGATCAAATGAGCTATAGGGTAAGTATGGTGGGGCCACCGATATGTAGCCCCTGTTTCTGAGGACGTGACATTTCTTCTTGTAAGTTTCATCACTCTCTTGGTGCTATCTGGTAAAAACTGAGTCATGAGGTGCCGACAAAAATCCAGCATGCTCCATGGGAAGTTCAGGCATTCTGCTCATTCCTGAGATATTCGTGGCTGTCAGCCTGCCGTTCAGATGGAAAACAACTTGCTGGGAATGAAATCCTGCCACTGCGGCTTTTCTCAGCTTGTCTGAGCAAGACACAGACCCAGACGGTACATCTGTAAGGATCTGAAAGTGAGGGAGGGCTGCATGGTGGTGACAGGCGGATAGGGAAGCCTTGGCGTCGCTGAGCCCTGTTCCAGACTAGCCCCAAGGAGGGAGGCAAAAATCCAGTTGTTGTTGTCCTGTGAGCTTTGTAAAAATCGCTCTCTCCTTACTGTACATGGGCAGTTCCAAAAGGCTGTTATAAACCAAAACAGAGCCTTAGCCCCTGTTTTTTTTGTGTTTGCAGCCATGGCACAGGGTATGAGAGTGAGAACCACACCACACCCATCCTCTGCGGTGCCCAGTACAGAATACACACCCATGGCGTGTTCCGGGGCATTCAGGTGAGTACTGGGGATGCCTGGCTAGAAGCCACCTTCAGTGCCTCCTCTGCTCAAGCACCCTCAGACACTTGCCAATGGACTACCTGGCCCTGGCACGTCTTTGTCATCAGGGACACCCTCCTCTTCCGCTGGGGTCAGTAAGGCACTTCTTCCTTCCCCAGAGATGGCTGACTCCAAGCAAGATGCTCCCTGCAGAATCCCTCCCTTACCAACTTCCTGCTTTACCACTTAATCCTGCTTCTCCAGGGTGGGCTGCGGGGCGGTCATATTTGAACCACCTGGGCTTGAATGAACCAGCTGGACCCTTGACTTCTGAGAAGACTTGGTCTACACTGTAAAGTGCCCAAAGGTCAACTGTTCCCTAAGTGTTGATAACAGAATCACAGCGGGGCCTTCATAGCTGGGTATTCTCCACGTGCTGTTTCATAGATGAACTTAAAAACACGGACTTTATCTGAATTTTAAGTTTACATAAAAATGGCACAGAAAGAGCAAAGTGTTACCATTGTCTCCTTTCCCCTCCACCCTTACATACTTTCTCCTGTCATTAACATCTTGTATTAGTATGGTACATTTGTTATCTTTGATGAGCCAATCTTGATATGTTATTGTTAACTGAAGTCTGTAGTACACATTAGGGTTCACTTTTTCTGTTCTGTAGCTCCACAGGTTTTGATAAATGCATAACACCATATATCTATCATCATGGCAAAGGTTTATCACCTCAAAAATGCTCTGTATGCCACCTATTCTATTTGCCACTCCCCTTTTCCACTCCTCCCTCCCCCAATAACCACTCTCTTTTCTCAGAATGTCACATAGCTGCAATCACACTCTATGTAGCATTTTCAGAATGAATTCTTTCACTTTCCTACATATTTATACATGGCCTTTCTTCTTTCATTTGATCCTTAATACAGACTCTGAGGTGGGTGCAGCGATCATTTCTATTTCATAAATGGGGGGGAAACTGAAGCCTAAGGAAGATCATTTGTACCAAATCACATACCTAGTAACTGGTGAAGCTGAGACTTACAACACAAGTTTTGTCTGCCTCCAGAACCCCTGGTTTTAACCACTCCACAGTTGTGGAGATAAAGGACTGTGAGCAGCTTAGGAGAGGGAGAAGTCTCCAGGGAAAGTGAAGAAAATAAAGTAGGAAAGGTGAAAGTTTCAGAGAATTCAGTACAATTGGTGGAAGGCCACTTTCAAAAATAGTGTCTTTTGGACAATCAGCACCACTCAGAGTTACCAAGGATTCTTATTTGTGACTTAACAAATGTGACTCAGTGGCTACAACAAGAGAAACAGCTGTGATACTCTCACCAGAATAGTCAGTACCCTGTGTGAACAAGTAACTCTGAGCTGTGATTAGTTTCCAGAAGTGTCATCAAAATGGAACAGTGTGCTTCCTCATCCCAAGCCTTCCCATGGGGAGAAATAACTGTGACAGAAATAGATTTGACAGAGGTTCAGAGTTGTCAGTGTCTCCCCAACAGATACCATCAGCTTCCTTTACCAGGACCCTGACTGACATTAACAACTCATTTTTAATGTCCTATTCCCATGTGCACTGTACCAAAATTGAATGAAAGGTTTCCTTTGCCCTCCTTCTCACCAGACCCAGTTTGTCAGACTCACTGTTTTTGCCTGCAGGAAATTCTAGACAAGTGTTATTTCACTACCTACTTATTTTCTTCTAGAGCCACTGAAACCGCTGACGTGCCATTACATCTTCTGCTACCATTTATCCTCTCAATGCAAGGCAATGTGAAGTAGGAAGGTGAACATAGCATGGGGTAGAGTGGAAGACTCACAGGGTAAAGCTCAGAAGTGAGCTCACAGGGTCCAGGTCTTGTCACAGTCATGGATATGCTTTTATGTCAGCCATTTACTCCCTTTGTCCCCAGCCTGCACATCTGTAACAGAACGGGGAGCATCACCTGGCCCCTTGGGCACCTGCCCTGCCAGTCATGATTCTTTGAGCCAGAGAACAGGTTAAGGGTACAAACCAATGCCTTGAAAAGGACATGACAAGTACCTAGAAGGTGAACAGAGTCCAGTGTTCTCAGCTGTCACTGTTGAAAGCTGCACTAGCTATACCATGGGCTTCTGGTGGGTTCAGCTCCCCTTCACAGACAGAACCCCCAAATCCAGGGCACCTTTTTCTTTGTCATTTATTTACACATGGAAAGTCTGGTTAGTTTGGGACTCATTCAGTACCTCATTTTTTTTCTCTAATAAGAATTTCCTCACCCATTTGTAGATTGGGCCCAAGTAATCACGTCTCCAATTCGGGGGGGAATAGAAAGAATCTGGAACTCTGGACATCCAGACCACACAGCCTCAAATGGAGATGCTGAGACACAGGATCGGTTGGGAGATCTCCGGGCACCAGCATTTCTTCTCTAGAGGCTCTGTGTTGGGGACCCAAAGTAGGCTTCCTTTCAAATACCAGTTCTGGTAGATGAATAGCGATGACATTGGACGTCCTTCAAGTCCTGATCTATCATCCTTCAGTGTGTCTGCCACAGGCATCTGGGGTGTGGAGGGAAATGGTCATATCTCACATGCACCTGCCACCCCTTCTGTGGATGTTCCAGTGTCCACTTTCCTGGGGACTGACTTCCTTTCTTCCTCTTACACTCTGCCTGTAGGATGTGCGGCGCGTGCCTGGAGTAGCCCCGACTCTTGTCCGGTCGGCATCTGAGACCAGTGAGAAACGACCGTTCATGTGTGCTTACCCGGGCTGCAATAAGAGATATTTTAAGCTGTCCCACTTACAGATGCACAGCCGGAAGCACACTGGTAAGTGTGTTCACTGTCCAGCCTCAAGCAGGATTGGTTTTAAGAGTTCCTGCTTCAAGCTTTCATATTGCTAAGGAAACAGGTGATTTCTGGGATGGAAAGTAGGTACTGCTTTTAAAAGCTCAGGCCAAGGGGATGGAAAAAGACAGTAAGGACTTCTATGTTTTGATATCCATCCTTTATTGTAGAACCCAGTGAATTTTCTTCAGGAAGGGCAGAGGAGACTGATAAAAAGAGAAGCTGTAGAATCAAAGAGACCTATGTTTAAAAGCTGGCTTCACCACCAAATGGTGAGACCTTGAGCAAGTTACTTTGAACCCCATTTGCTTCGTATGGAAAGTGGAGGTGATTATGCATATTTTGTGGCATTGTTAGCCTAGATTAAGTTAAATCAAATTGCATGGAAGATGTAGCTATAAAGCACTTAGCATAGGAGCCTATGTTTACAGGTCTGAATGACTGATAGTGTTACTGCTGGAGTACCCATAGCTTCTCTAGAGAGAGGAGCAAGCTTTGGTGGGCAAGACCATCATAAACTTTGAGGGGATGGTCCAAAGAAGAAATGAGCTGTTTGGGTTAGTAATAACCAACCAGCTGGGAATGGGAAAATGCCCTGTAGTTTAATTTTTGTTATAAGTCTTTAAGAAACAAAGATGATGATTTTTGAAGATTTGTCAAAGAAAACTAGATTTCCTACCAGGCAGGCCAAGGAGTCCATGTTTGGGGCAGAGAGAACTGGCTTTGTCTGATTGTCAGCCACCTTAGATATGAATAGCTACTTCATAAATGTTCACTCTTGGCCTTGAGGGCCCAGGGTAGGAGTGTGGTTGAGTCTCCCCTCCAGGGAAACAGGAGCAATCTGTGGGGCCCCCTCAGGGTTTCCTACAGAGGAGCAATGTAGTTGTAGGAACTTTTATTGAGAAATAGGCACTTAGAACTCAGTGAGGTTTAGATGGTTGAACAGAGTGAAGACAGTGAATGTGGTAGCCATGACCCCCAGACTTGCTAAAACCTTCAACCAGATCTTCCTTGCAGTAGACAAGGTAACAGGTTGTTTTTATCCTATCTACAGCCCCCTTCCTGAAAGAATGCAGTATTTTCTTATGCATTGATATTAATAGTATAGACTAGTTTATCAAGTACATTTTTTGCAGAGGGCTTCCTACTTGTATTGTTTCATATAATCTTCACACACAAAACAGTTATCAAGAGGGTAGGATGTAGTGGAAGCAGGACTCAAACTCCAGCCTTTCAACTCCAGCCCCCTTCTCAAAGGGTGTATATGGGAGGTAGGATAGACACAAATGAGAAGGGACTAGTTAAGTGTAAGATCATGTACTAAGCAAGAGCCTGGAGCATCTGAGGAGTTGAGAAGGAGTAGATTTAAGCAAGAGGCTTTGGAGAAGGTTTCTGGGAGCAGAGAGGCTTGGGCTAACTATTGAAGTAATAGAAGAAGGAAAGAATGAGCAGAAATTTAACATAGGAAAGAGAAATGTGACTGAAGAGGGGAGTTCTCTCCTACAAGCTGTACAGCTGAAGCAGAAGGCACTGGGCCAAAGCTAAGGAAAGGCTCCTGCCCTCAGGATTTTCCAGCCCATAAAGAAGGCAGAATGGGACCCTAGCTTGCCACAGTAGATATTATGGGATCAATTCTGTGATGAGAGAAGGAAGGGATTTCAACCTGACCATGAAGTTTCCAAGCAGGCACCGCAGAGGACATGGCATTTGTGATGGTTGTATTATGGTCAAGTCTGATGGGTAGATATGTGGACACAGAGATGAAAGGCATTGAGTATGAGCAGAGTACAAGGAAGACTTCAGGAATGGAGAGGTTGGCTATATCGGGAGTACAGAAAAACCAGAGGACATCAGAGGTTATGAGGTAGGAAAGGTGACTGGAGGCTGCCCTGCAACAGAAAGAACCTACTGACCTTTGGGTGGCTTATTCTCTGTCCCAGAATGCCATGACTCAGAATTCTCCTACTAGGTGGAAGGCCCCACAGATGCTCAGCGCACTGGGGCTTGGTTCCAAGAGTTTGGCTGAACTTTCTCTGTGGAGGACAGGGGTGGAACCATCCACTGAGAGGCAGTGGTTGTGCAATCCCACTGCAGACTGTTCTTGGATAAAGGGATTCCACAGTCTTTCTAAATGCTTCAGCTCCTGGTTTAATTGAGGTGTCTCACAACCCTGGAATCATTTATGCTTGACTCAAGAACAAGAAGTCAATAGCAGAGAACACCCAATCTTCAGGCCATAAAACATAGAACACTTATATCATTGAGCCAGCCTCAAAGCATATCCATCCCAGAATTTTGTCTCAGACTCAGCCCAGCCTGGGAATTAAAACTTCTTTGATTTGTCTAAATATTCCCTGCTCTTACGTTTTGAGTATTGCCTCTGTGCTAGGCACAGAGCCCTTTACATGGATGGTCTGATGTTATCTATTTATAAATCCTTTTAAGTTGTCAGATCATTGGCCCTTTTTCAAAATGAGGACACCACCTCACCCAGGCCAATAGCCGTTCACATGTGGGTAAGTGGCCCTTTTATCTCACACTACCCTCACAAGCTCCCCTGAAGCACTTTAGGCATTTTGGGATCCCTTTGGTCCCAGTAGGAGATGCTGCCTCTGAGATCATATTTCCAGTATTGTTCTCAATAGAATATGTGTCTTCCCCAAGGTGAGAAACCATACCAGTGTGACTTCAAGGACTGTGAGCGAAGGTTTTCTCGTTCAGACCAACTCAAAAGGCACCAAAGGAGACACACAGGTTTGTAGGTTCACCTCTCATTGCCGGCAGTCATGTTCTCTTGGGTTAGGGTTGCTTTTGTGATTCTTTTTTCTTGTTGAATATGGACAAGAGAGTCAGCATCTGTTTAGGCTTTTTTTTTTTACCCTCATCTGGAGACTTTCTTTTTCTTAAAAAAAAATTAAAAAAAAAAAGGAAAGAAAAAGAGACAGTCCACATTTCTTCCTGCAAACCACAGCACAACTGAAATCCCACAGGAGTGGGCTGGTGATGCACTGAGCATCAGTCAGGAATGAGGGTGGCAGAATGCAGAATCCGATTTGTAGCATGTGATTCACTTTTTTCGTCTCTGACACAGCTGAGACCTTGCTGCTGGTGAGAAGCTGGACATTTATGGTTAAGGAATGGTTGTTCCCAAGGCAGAAGCAGGTCCTTGAGGTCACTGTGCAGAGTCAGGTGGTTCCTGCTGGGCCTGGGGAATTGGGAAATTCTGAGGGCCAGGCAGATACTGCAGGTACGGATGGAAATGCCGGGCTCCTCCAGCCACCATAAAGCCAGCTTGTGGGCCTCCCTGTGCCCACATTGCTAGGGCCGAGGCTAGACCTTCTCTGTCCATTTAGGTGTGAAACCATTCCAGTGTAAAACTTGTCAGCGAAAGTTCTCCCGGTCCGACCACCTGAAGACCCACACCAGGACTCATACAGGTAAAACAAGTGCGTAAACTTTTCTTCACATTTATTTTTCATTTTTTTTATAAAACTTGAATAAAGTTGGTTGTGATGAGAGAGATTAGAAAAACCTTAGTTCTAAGGTTTAGACTCAGTGAGAGAAAGAACAGTGCATGACTATGTTTAAGTGATAAATAATAACATTTTTCAAAGAAGGGCAGGGGGAGTACAGAGCAGGAGAGAGATGTGAAGGAAATGTCCAGAATGAAAATGAAAGGATAAACTGGGTCCTAATTGTTCAATATAATTTTTGTATCACATTTTTTATCATTCCATTTGATGTGATAATCAACTTTACAGGAAAAGCAGAAATTCTGGCAAGCCAAACATTTGTTCTCCTGAGAGCCCATGTTTCACAGTCCTGTTTGGAGAGTGGATTCCTTGCTTTGCTGAAAGTTAATGGCCCAAGAGAAGCCTTGGTTTCTGCTAGACTAACACAAACTTATGCATATTGTTTCCTTCACACTATTACATAGAGTAGAATATGTGCATATATTCTGGCCATATCCACTGGCTGTTAAAGGATTTTACTTGTCTACAAGGCCAATGTGATTCATAATGAAAATGTCACCACCTTTGTTGCTTATTTGGAAGTAGGGTCATTGCTTAGGTTATCTCATTGTGTCTTCATGGCATCTTTGTAGGAATAGTAGGGCAGGTGTGTTTTATTCCCATTTTACAGTTGTGGAGTCTGAGGCACTTAGTAATGAAATGACATGTCTAAAGTCACAGAGTAGCAAACTCAGTTGTGACTGCTCCCAGCCCACCTTGTCCCATTGTGCTCTTTTGTGCAGAAAGAGCATGAGTTCACACAGCAGTTCAGGGAGAACAGAGAAGCAAAGAGGGAGCCAAAGTCAGCCAAGTTGAGTACCACTGAGGGACTGAGAAGGAGGAGGACTACTGAGAGTAAGGACTGGGACATGTCCATTACGAGGACACCTCGCTTTCTTAGTATGTTCAAGTGCTCCTGTCATCGGTAGATGGTTTGATGCCCAGTCTGGTCCTACAATGACACATCTCTTGGGACATTTCTCAGTGTCTATCTTGATGAGTAGCCAGAGAAAGCCAAGTGGGACCAGCTATACCCAGGGGGAGATCCTTCAGGTGGTAAGGGATTGGCTCCTGTGGCATTTTCCTCAGGAAGGCCTAAGGGTGTGATATGGGGTAGAGTCTGTTCTCACCAGATGTCTGACCTCATCTGTAGAGTAGAGACATTGCTCTTATGGGACTATTGGAAGGAATACACAATGTCCAGCACAGGATGATATTTGGTACATATTATGACTTAATCTAAAGTCACAGAGCTAGTGAGTAGCAAATTCAGTTTTGACTGCTCCCAGCCTACCTTGTCCCACTATTGACTTCCTTGGAGAATGAGCATGAGTCACACAGCAGTGCAGGAAGGACAGAGAAGCAAAGAGAGAGCCAAAGTCAGCCAAGTTGAATGCCACCAAGAGGCTGAGAAGAATGAACAGTATTGATTAAAAAAGGAAATTATTGTTCCTAATGAAAATGAGGACTCCTTACGTGGAATAGCTTTCATCTTTTGCCTTAGCTAGAAACTTCTATATACTAGAGATTATGCTTTGAGTAACACTTTATAGTAAAAGAAGCAAATGTACAAACTGGTATTAGTGATTTACTTAAAGATCTCATCTAGAGACAGTAAAGCAGTAGCTCCTCTGCTTCCAGTCAGAGATCAATCAATGACATCCAGTGTGACGATCCAGAGGCCTTGTTGCCCAGTTAAGCTCAGTTCCCTGGGCTGGGAAGGTGGTAGCACACCTGCCTAGCAAGTGCAAGACCCTGACTTCAAACTCCAGTACCACCCAAAATAAACACACCCAGTTCCCCACTTAAACAGCAGTAGGGAAACATCAACACACACAAAACATTCTGACAGTAGAGATGAAACAAACATCTCCCCCTTAATTAAATATTAATTGCCCAGACATCTTCATGAACTAGACTCATTCCTTCTCTCCCATTTCCCAAGTCTTCTGACTTAAGAATATTGTATAATTTTTATACTATTCCATTCCTAAAGCCCCCAGAGGCGCTGCCATCCAAGACTGCCTGTAAAATGAGCCAGTTGTTAGCTTAGGGAGAGACTCAAGGGAGTCTGGGGCGGGTGCCTTGTGATGACTTAACATGGATCTTTGATAGTTGACCTTGTGCCCAGTCACTCCGCTCGCGAGTGTCTCTGACCAGCGATTGTATCCACAGGTGAAAAGCCCTTCAGCTGTCGGTGGCCCAGCTGTCAGAAAAAGTTCGCCCGGTCAGATGAATTAGTCCGCCATCACAACATGCACCAGAGAAATATGAGCAAACTCCAGCTGGCGCTTTGAAGGGTCCAACCAGGGACAGTTCAGCATCCCAGGCAGGACAGCGTGTGAGCTACTTTCAAATGTGATTTTTGAAATTCCTCCTCACTCACTTAAAAAGCACACAGCCATTTGTCTTCATCTAACTTCAGGACAAGACACCTGTACGACTGGATGCTCCCAGGTTTGCCCAGAGGAGTTGGACTCTGCTGTGCCAACTTTTAATTGACTCACAGACCTGAAGAAGCGGCTGACAGTGTCTGGTTAGTTAAAAGCCCATCGCCATTTGGTCTGGATTTTCCACTGTAAGAGGAACCGTTGTTGATAATGTATCTCCCGTCCCCCCCTTCTCCTTTTGTGCTCATCTTCACTAGAAATGAAGTGCTTGTACCATTTTCCATCATGGAATATTTATAGGTCAAGGCATGCATATGTGTCTGCTAATGTAAACTTTGTCATGGTTTCAATTTACTAACAGCACCAGCAAGAAATAAATCAGAGAGCAAGGCATTGGGGGGCGAGTCTCAGCCAACATTCCTGAGGTCAGGCAGGCTGCTAACATGGAAGACAGGATGTAGCTCTTACCAGGTGACTTTTAAAACTCATGCATTTCAAGCAACTGAAAATAAAATTAAAAAAAAAGAATCAGAACTAACCAGTACCTCTGTATAGAAACCTAAAAGAATCTTACTCTTCAGTTAATTCAATATTAACATTAACACAATTCTCTTAAGAAACTGATTGAAGATCTGAGATTTTGTTTTTGTGGTTTTGACCCTTTTTGTGAATTGTAATCACGTGTATCTTCAGAGATGTTTTTATTGCCTCACAAAAGGAAGCAGAATTCATTTTCATTACTTGGGGTGTCCTTAGTGTACGGACCACACTGGCAATGCAGCTTCAAGTTGTAAAAATTAAAGTGACTTTATAGGGGTCCAGGATCTTCACTGATAAGACTGTTCTTAATTAACTTAAGTAACTTTGGGTCTATAAGTATATGTGAAAAGAAATGAGACTATTGTGAGGAAATCCATTGTTTAAAGGTGGGCGTGTGTCTGTGTGTGTGTGTGTGTGTGTGTGTGTGTGTGTGTGTTCTTGGTTTTTTTTTAAGGGAAGGAGTTATATTATTTACTGTTGCTTGAAATTGTGTAAATATATATATCTGAAAATGATTTGCTCTTTGACAACTAAAATTAGGAAATGTATAAATACTAGATGCATCACTGTTTGAGTGTTAATCTTACAGCGTACTGATGATAACACTGAAAATGTAACTGCATTTTTCACTTTGCGCTCAATTAAAGTCTGTTGAAAAAGAAAGTGGCAAGATTCTATCAGCTGTATTATGTTCAAATGTAAGGCCAGTTTAGCCTCTCTTAAAGAGGAAAGAAGATATCCCTGACATTGATGGCTACTAGTAAGCCTATCTGGGTCCTGACTGCAACTATGTTCTTGTTGTCAGACTTCAGGAGGGAATTATCTGTTCTAGAAGCAGAGGGTGCCACCTCTGCCTTGTATTGTGGTTGGATGGTTTTGTGGATGGTGCGGTGGTAATTGTGGTGTAGGGCTTATTTTAATCAACTTATCATTGCATCACTTCTTATTCCAGACTGGCAAAAGAGTCTAGAGAGGTGCTAAGGATAACTGGTCATTTTGAAAAGTTCACAGATACATTCCTGGGATCAGGAGGGTATAAGCTGAACACCTAGTACAAATGAATTTACAACTGTAGTTGCTCTAAGTCAGCTCAGCAGGTGAAAACCTGCTTAGACTTCCCAGGACAGCTGAATGTGAAAGCACAGGTCTAGATAAATATAAACTCTCTGTGGTTAGCTGTATGGTTTTCAGTTGTAAATAAAGAGATTAATTTGGTGGAGCCTCTCTCAGCTTCATTATCTTGGAGCTTGCATGCATTCAAAGTTTCATTTATTCATTTAAAACTATCTTTTGAGCAGACAGAAGCTCAGCCTGGAGACACTTCAGCAGCTCAAAGTTGGAGCAGCCTAAAAGCTGGGTCTGGAGGCCCCTCTTCTTTTGCATCTGGCTCTTGCATCACTGTTAATTATAGCGAGTTCAGTGACTCATGTGTATCAGCCGTTTTTATCTTTTCCTGCCAGAAGACAGCATTTCTCTGGAGAAGCTCAGAACAAGCACGGTAGACGTCAGCAAGTCAGAGAGAGCAGGTTTCACAACAAAAGTACAGCCACATTGTTTCCACGGCTCCTCTAGCTCAAGGAAGACCAGAGATTCTGACTACCCCAGCAGGGTGGTTTGCAGCAAAGGTCATGGAGTTTGGAAAGGAGAATAACCTGGGTTCAAGTCCCAAATCCCCAGTTTTCTCATCTATGAAGTGACAAGAGCCTCTGCTAGAATCACAGTGAGGATTAAACAAAAAACAGAAGGTATGAAAACATCTAATATTGGCAAAGGATTGTAAGAATGATCTAGAAAAACTAATACCCATTGATTCACCCACTAGTTTGTTTTACCTCCTTCTCTCAGCTTGCAGTGTCTAGACATCCTCACAGGTCAGTTCTGCAAAATGACAAAGTGTCTATTCTCTTGACCTCAATTCAGAGGGGTGTTTTGTAGCAATTGGGCTTCTTGCCAGCCTCTCCACAAAAACCACGTCTGTTTGGTTTGTGTCCTTTGTAAAGCACCCAGTGACTACTGACTGCTTCTGAGACCCTATGGTGTTGACATTGTGCAGACTGGCAGGAAAGCAATGGTGGCCGTTAGTCAGTGAGCATTTTCTGTGGCTCAAGTTAGGGGCTGTATTGATGTGCGTTTTTCCATTCTGCTTCAGGGCCTGGTTTAGCATATGGCTCCATATTTCTGCATCCCTACCTTCCTCTGCTGGTTCTTCCCAGAGCGTTCGGTCATCTAGAGTTCTCTCACCTCTGAATTTCTCTAGCACTCACAGTAGGTACCATTAAACAATACCTTCTACAAGTGTAGTGTTTTCCCATCTTCATTTTGATCTCTAGGACAATCCTGTAAGGCAGACAGGGCAAGTGTCACCCCCACTTTACTGATGAGGACACTGAGCCTCAGGGAAGTAAGCAGGACTTGATCTTAGTATCCCGTATCTGTCTCCTATTAAAACAGATGTAGGTCAGACTTGCGCTCGGCCTCATTGTTTTACATCTATAAGTCACGTCTTACATCTATAAGCCTCTAGAGGGAAGAGCTTGTCACCTTCCTGTGTTGCCAATGTCAGGGGTTCTCAACTTTAGTGTCTATAGACATCACCTGAGGAGTTTCTTAAGATGTAGATGCTAATGCAGAAGTTCTGGGGCAGGGCCTCAGCTTCCGTATTTAGCCATTTCCCGGGTGATTGACACCCTGCTGGGCTATGGACAGCACTTTATACAGCAAGGACCCGCAGGGTGAGCTCAATAAATACTTGCTGAAAAATGACCACAGAAATTTGCACTTGACGATCATGGGATGTCACTGAACTCTGTTAGCCCTTGGGAATGGCCATGAAGGTGCCCAGGCCCTGCTGTGGTGTTCCATGGGGCTGTGGGTCAAGACATTCCTGCAGAATGCAGTCAGTGGAAGCTTGTGCATAAGCCCAGAAGGAAGTTAGTCTTCAAACATGGTTGGTAGGTCCATCCACTGTCAGTGACTTTGCACAAGCAAGGGAGACTTCCCTAGGTAAGATCACTTGCAGCAAAGGGCCACACCTGTATATCCAATCTTTGTATCTCACTCAGTTGCACATCTTGGCAGTGGGCCACTCCCTCCTGACACGCTGTTTGCCAGCATTTGCAAACTGAAATCATGTGGCTTTGAAGAGAAAATATTCTCTGAAAGCCTGAAGCCAGTCTCTATTTCCTGCCCCACTAGGAACTCTTGCCTAGCTCTCTTGGGTACCAAAGGAGCCCTGTCTTTCTGGCAGGGTGTTTGTACCACACTGAACTTGGGTTATGTCAGGGGGAATACATGAGTGCAGAACAACTGCTCTTAACTGAGAAAGACTTTGCTCCCCCAGGGGCCACTTGGCCATGTCTGGAGACATTTTGGATCATCATGATGGGATGGGGGCAGGGTGCTAAAGGCATCTGATGGGTAGGGGCCAGAGATGGTGCTTAATAACCTACAGTACGTGGGACACAACACCCCTCCCCTCCACCAGAGAATTATCTGGCCCAAAATGTCAGTGGTCCAAGGTTGAGAGTGGCCCTGGTATAGAAAGTGTGAGTCATTTTCATCAGACAGAATTGTCACCAGGTAAGACAATTGGAAGCGGGTTGCTGCTGGTTTTTAGGTCAACCTTGACTGATCCAAGAATTGCTATCCAGTCCCTTTTAAACCCACCTTTCTGAACTGACTTTTGTGAGGAATTTTGCTTTAAGTTCTCTAAGCAGGAATTTCCCAGAAGTAAATGCTTAAGAGCCACAAAAAGGAAAACAAATCCCAAAGAAAATATGAACATCCTGGTCCTTTTCATTCATGTTTTTGCCTCTAGTGACCATATTATTTATCAAGTGATTGAAATCTGGACAAATAGTTATTTGATAGAATCCTGAAAAAGTTAATAAATACAAATTTCCATGGTGCTGACCTGGTGGGTTTCTATCACCTTTCAGTACCACACTAAGAAGGTAGCTGCTTTGGTGGAAGGCGATGGAATTTTCTCTGTTATAACAAAAGCTGGATTCTATTGGTTCCGACTGGCTTGGAGAAGGAGAGAGAGGCAGAAAACAAGGGAAGGCCCCAGTCTGAGGGTAGAAACCCCAGACCATCATATCGACAGCCACACACAAGCAAGGTTAGTGCCCAGGTTTCTCACAAACTTCTGAGTAAGTCTGAGTTTCAGAGGTGAGGGTGGGTGACAAGGACACTCCTGAAGATAAGGATCTGGAAGGCAGTGGCTTTAAGCATAGACTGAAAATTAGTCTGTGATGAGTGGCAGTCTCAGAGACATGGAAGACAGATATAAGCAGCTAACTAGGACCAAATCAGCAAATGAGAGTTGAAGAGACAGCGGAGATGTTCCTGGAGCAGGGGAGGACTGGAGGATGCCCTGGGGGGATATGGGGCTGACATAAATGTGAGGGGTGGTTGGTTGGAACAAGTGGCTTTTCCCCCTTGCATTTGTCCCAGGAGTATTAATGACCTTGGCAGTGGTCAAGAGGGATGGCCTGACATAGAGGACTCTGAGGCCCACTGAGTGAGCTGTGGGACTCCACAAGAAAGACAGAGGGGTGGCAAAAGGAAGACAAGTCCAGGAAGAAAGATGAGACAGATGAGGAATGAAGTGAGGACTTTAGGAAGGTCTGACAGGAAGAAGGAGCTTCTGTCTGGCAGGGCCTGACCCCCACATGAACCTGCACCCCCACTATTAACACTCCACTTGGGACTTGCATAAATGGGGGTGCTCAAGTGATAAAGGCAAATAACAATGCATACCCAGTGCCACTGGACACACGTTCTCTTACTGAGAGCAATCCCCATTTTCCAGACTCTTAAGAAGTACCTCACCCAGGTCACATAGCTCGTGCGTGTGCAAGGTTGATTCAGAACCACGAGCTTAACTCCTACGCCGCACTGCATTTATTCCCCAGCCTGGTTGGCTCCCCAGGTGGGGGCTGCCAAGAGACTGCTAGAGCCCTGCCTCACCCACTTCCCTTGCTGGGACACTAGGGGTGACTTTCAAGTGTCTGGAGACAGGACAGGCATGATTGTCAAAATGTTCCCTCTCCCCTTTCCAGTCATGCAAATGTTTTCATTCAATATTTTATATTAAAGACCGGAACTCAAGAAATGACATAGCATAAATGTTAGCCAGCTAGTGATAAAAGGGGAAAATTGAGAAATACATTTTGAAAGTTCAAGGTCAATGATCACTTTTTAAAAGCAGCATCCTCTTTCCCAAGGAGTGCTACGTCAGAAGGAGCTGGCCCAGAAAGAAGCTGATAGTTTCTATAGTGGGGGGTAGGGGATGGGAGAACCATGCAGCTGTGCCCCCCACCTTTTTTTTAAGCAGGCAGTCTCCATTATTGTGAGACATATTTGTGTCCTTAATCCAACAAAGAAGGCTGGGGACTCTTCAGAGAGGTCTCCTGCCCAATTTTTTGAGCTCTGAAAATGTAATAACCCATGTCAGTGGCTTTTATTACTCAATGCAAGGACAGCCTTTCTTCTAGCCTGGGCCCCAGCAAACCTCTGCCCTAGCAGAGCCTATGGCAGCCTTGGGAATGGGGGATAGAGAGAAGGAAGCAAGAGGGGCCAGATGGGTCAGTATCTGTCTTCACTCCAGAACCAGGCTGTGAGGCAGAGTGGACTTCTTCCTGATAAACATGTCTT